TGTAGGTCTAATAAAATACCAAGATCATCTGTGGAGTTTGAGAATAGCATTCTGATGGTAAAGATTACTGTAACATGATTAAGCCTGTGGTGAATAGATTTTCCTTGTTCAGGTTTCATTTGATTACAAAAGTTTATATAAAATCAGCTTTTATAAGTTTTACATCATGTTATAATGTTACTCCCTCATCAAAAACATACTTGGAGTGTTGCCTTGATTCTTTCATGCATTTAGAGAAATCACTGAATCTCCATGGCAACCATTCAACTGTGCAAAATGCCTGGGTGAGCCGATCGCCGCCTCGGAGCTGCGGTTTCCAAGGTTCCAATTTTCCACATTATCCAGCGCCTCTCCCCAACGACTCCCCTACTCAGCTCCTTCAGACTAGCCAGCAGCAATTAGCAAACACCTGGTGGAACTGAGCATCTGCTGAGCTTATTATGTGAGCCACTTCTCAGTGCAACACTAGTATCAACATTGTTAAAGGGCTAAAAGAGGAGCCATGTTGTGAGGACGTCCTGAAGGCGGAGTTTCAGAAAGAGCCGGAGTTTTTAAAGAGAGGGCCAATAATCAAAGTGTTAAATTACCAAGTCAAATTTCTAAGTCATATTTGATATATATAGGATTTTTATAACAACTGAAGTTAACACAGTTACTTGATTATGCTTCACATACTGTATGTACTATGTGGCTGGCAAATATATAATACTTCCTCTTTAAAATTTGTTTGTGGTTTTTCACTAAACTGAAAAAAACAACAAACAAGTTGATTGTTTCAATATCAAACACATTAATAATACTTCAAATGAGTTTTGTACTTAATTATTTTTATTTTATCTGCTTTTTTAAACTATTTTTACTCTATGCCTATCTTAGGTTATGAGCTGTATTGTTTTCAAAGTGTAACTTTTATTGGGTTTTAATGGGGAGCGACACAACCCACTACAGTACAGCAGGTGTAAAATGGCCCTCTGCCTGAGGCCGTGGTAACCATAGCAGACATTGGAAAGTGAAATGCGATGCAGCAGGCCCTCTGGGCTGTGTTTCTGAATCACAACTCTATAATGAGCTAGCTGAGCTCGAGCTGCATCAAAGATGCAAAACCTAAGTATCTGTTTCAATGCACACTTTGGTCTGGTGGAATAAAGACTGCAGCTCTGCAGCAAAACTCTGGAATCTTTCAAGCGTTGTGTTTAGTTAACATTTCCAGGATCCGCCAGCCTTGCTCCATAATGTTCAGTCTGATTGTGTTTAGTGTAATGTTTGAACCATTCAGCATGTTCTATGCATTTAAAGAATGCTTTTGCCAGTCCCTTCACACATTTGTTTACCTAGTAAAAATCAATGTATTCATTAGCAATTTTTTTCTTAAGGTGAATTATGTCAATATTCAGCGTAGTAAGGTTGTGCAACATTAGGAAATAACACTATAGTGCTAATTTTATTAAGTAGTGCAATGATGTTATCAGGTGCAATAAGTCCATCTTTTCCCTGACTAGCTCTTTCTCAGCTGTCATTGGCATCAAATACTCTAAGCCGTACCTTTGGACACTGAACATGTTTTACTGTGATTTTCCTGAATACTGAATAGGGTTTGGCATTTATCATATTGTTTATCATTTAATGTGATTTAATGTGATATATTTCTTCTGTATTTATCATGTAACAGACGTTTAAAATGTGCATCATGAATTTTTGTTGTCAGCCGTGATTGTTCAGGCAAGCAGCTGGAAGTGAATAGATGAGCCTGGTGTGTTTGTCTTCAGCTGTGCTGTATGAACATGTAGTTAGAACTGCCTGTGATTTAGGTTAAATATTTACTTCCACAAACTTCTCACAATACTTTGTTACAATTTTGTCCCATTCTGCTGACAGGCCTAGTGTGACTGTGCCATGTTTGTAGTTAGCTTGCTCACACACACCTTTTCGTCTCCACCCATAATTTTCCTATTGGGCTGAAATCAGGGCTTTGTAAACCTGATTTTAAAACTTTGACTTTTTTAAAACTAATCTGTTTGTAGAGTAATTGTCCAAATGGAAGACCCATTAGTGCCCAAGCTTTTCAGACTTTCAGCTACAGATCTGGCTTTACGGTTGATAAAGAGTATCTCTTACCACGATCAACCAGACTTGTGGAAGACCTCTGACATGTTTGTTGAATTCTTTAGTTTTTTTTGTTGTTGTTGTTGTTGTTGTTTTTTTTTCTGGAACTTCACAAAAAGGTAGCATTATGTTTGAGATGTATCTGGTAATGTTCAAAACCACTTCCTTTCACTTTAAACCTCTGCTACGCTTGTTGATCTGTCACCGTGGGGCGATGGTGGTACAAGTTCGTCCGGTAATCGGTGGGTTGTTGGTTCGAGCTCCTGCTCCATCTGACTGTGTCGTTGTGCCATTGGGCAAGACACTTCACTCGCCTTGATGGTGGTCAGAGGGCCTGGTGGTGCAGGTGCACGGCAACTTCACTTCTGTCAGATTGCTCCAGGTGCAGCTGTGGCTACAATTAGCATGTGAATGACTGAGTGTAGTGTGAAGAGCTGTGGAGTCCTCTGGACTTGTTAAAGTACAACACAAGTACAGCACTGCCAAGTACTATTTACAATGACAGTAAAATACAAAGATGTTTGTAAGTATACAGAGACTAAATGGAATAAAGGGGGTGTTTGGACTTTTGCGAAGTCTTTTTTAGTTATTCTTCTTTAGTAGTTTTCCACAACCTTGCCAATCTAATCAACGATGGGTTAGTTACTGTGACCCATCGTTGCATTAACGACTGGTCAGTTAATGCAACAGATGTGCCTTCATAAGTCATAAATCACTCATGTTCATCTTTACTGTCACAAGCTTTAATTTTGTATTTTCTGTTGAAAAACAATCTAAAGGGCCCCTCTTATAAGTTGATCTGAGTCCTCACCATGTTTTTACTGAAGCTACTTATGCTCATAGTACCCCGAGAAACGCGTGTGTAGATAAGTGTATCTTATAACGGTTTCTTCTTTGTGAATCCAATGAATCTTTAAATAGTTATCATGGGGTGACGCTTTCAAACATTTAGTCTTTGTAATAATATTTACTGTACATATGTATTGTATCTCATGGCTGATGTGTGAATAAACTGTAGTTAAATTAAACTGAAACAAAAAAAGAAGAAGGATTGTGTTTAAATGTATCACACTGTGGTTTCAGACCTGCTCTCATGTTCTGAGATTTTCCTCTGCCTCTCTGATGCATGCTGCACTGCGGAGGCTTAAGCAGCTCAAGTCTTTGCTGTTCGGCTTTGAAAAACAGGTGCTGCATTTTTCTGTAACACGTTTAACATACCTTACAGTCACCATCAGTGTGCCTAATAAACACACAGACAATCTCTGGCATTTCAATGGTAGCATACAAAAACTAGAAACAAACTTGCTCTTCAACACCACAATTCAATGGCAGATGACAGAGGGGATATTTTTTTCACTGTCAGACCTAGTCACAACAGGAAAATGTGACTATTATTGTGGTACAGGGGGAAGGAAACGGCCCTCTTGAAACAGCGTTATGGAGATTGTTGGTCAGACCAGTGGTTCAACTGTCACTGCTGCTGGTCCCCAGGTGGGTTTTTTTTACAACCAGAGAAATTGTTCACAGCCCACTGATGAACTGGAAATGTCAAAGACACGGATAGGAATGCACCAATAAATTGGCCCAGATTTTTTTAATTTTGGGAGAATGGTGATCAGCCGATACTTATGTGAAGCCGATATCATCCACCGATTTAGCTTTGTCTGCAAAGGTCTAAAAATCAACCACTGTTCTCTGTTGCGGTTTGACTGACAGTTCTGCCCACCAGGTCATGTTTGCACGCTTGCAGTTAGCAACAGTCACCTCACCTTTGCCATCTCAGCAAGGAAGTCGACAAAAAATTTGGCACAGGGTGGCCCACAAAAAAGTAGCCCGTGTTACTATAGTATTACTGGTGGCCTTCAGTAAAGAAAGAAAGAACTTGAAATGCCAAAATCTTTACTCACTCTTTACAGAAAGCGCTGGAAATGATCCCCTTGTGCTTCAATGCAGTTTTGGCCGTGCCTTAGCATATTGTCATATATGCGGACGCAACTCTGGGGCACCAATGCTCTGAATGGCATTACGAATACTGTCTTTTAACTGCTGTAAAGTTTTTGGGTTATTAGCGTACACTTTGAAAAGTGTACGAAAAAGTAAAAAAAAAAAAAAAAAAGTAAAAAGAAAAGTAGGGCCACCCTGTATCAGCCAAAACTAGAATCGGCAAGTCAGTTTTCTTAAAGATTGGTAATCAGCCAGAAAACTGCAATTGGTGCACCGTAATATAAACTTATTAAAGTCTAAAGATATGTGTTTGAAATGCTGCATAATGCATCCTGATTGTTGTAGGTGACACGTCTGTGCCCTTATTTCTTTTGCAGCTGGTTCCTAACCTGGTTGACCTCTAGTTCTCCTCGCTGACTACAGTGAATCAACATGAGTGTGTCTTTTGATTGCTTTTTCTGACACATTTCTGTTGAGTCCCAAACAGACATAATGGATGTTTTTGCAGAATTAGTCTCTCTGCCTGTTTAATCACCAACCACTCCAGCTTTACCTCCCACTGGTTAACAGGGGGTGAAATTTCTTCTGCTCTTCTTTTTGAAATGAGACTCATCGTTTTCCAAGGTTTTTCTTTGTTGTTAATTTATAACCATATTCGTAATACTGTTTATTAAGTGTTATTTTTGATTCTAGGTTCAATTTAATCACAATCAGATTTGATAAATTATCCACTTATCCAATCCTGACCTGAAACTCATTTACTTTTTACCTGGATCAGACGGTTAAGCTGAATAAATACAACTTTATAGAACGCCGTCAACATTTGGACCTTGGCCGATCCAAAAGGGAAAAAAGTACCTGAATCTCACATTTCACTAAACCTTAAAGTTTATTCAGTCTTCAGTTGTGCTGATAAACTGTTGAGCTCTTTTGTCATGTCTCTGTTTCTCTAGGACCAACCCAGCTGCTCCCCCCCTCAGTGAACTCTGACCCCCCAGGTGCCATCTGACTCAGGGATACGATGGGACTCCTCTCCTTTCACCACGGCGCACTCTTCTTCGTCTTCTTTTTCCTCCTCCTCCTGTGCCACCCCTGCATTTCCATCAGGCCTCAAGTCCTGGAGCGAGCGTCTTCGCCTGAACAACCTGAGTCCTCTGACAACTCCACAGAGTCTGAAAAGAGGACATGTACAGGTGTCGTGGTGTGTAAACCCGGCATCCTGCTGCCAGTCTGGGAGCCTCTCAACCCTCCAGTTGGGGAACAAGCAGGAAGGGCGATTGTGTACTTCCTCTCTCTCATGTACATATTCCTTGGAGTATCCATCATTGCAGACCGCTTCATGGCATCCATAGAAGTCATTACATCTCAGGTATCATCATTCTCTTTAATATTTAGAACCTGTTAGACTCAGACTCATTATGCACAGCGTCCAGTTTGTGCTCTGTGATTGTGTCTATGACTCACCAGATTTCTCTGTGTTTCATGTGAATATTATATCCTGAAACGACCAAATCAGGAGAAGGAGGTGACCATTACCAAACCTGATGGGGAAACCACGGTGAAAACCGTGCGGGTCTGGAATGAAACCGTGTCCAACCTGACACTCATGGCCCTGGGCTCCTCTGCACCAGAGATCCTGCTCTCTGTTATTGAGGTACTCTCTTCCATCTGCTATAAACACAAGCAAAAACTTGTGTTTCACTGCCTGTGAAAGTGCAAAAAGAGTAAAAAATTTAATTTCTCTAGTTATTTAAACAAATATGTAGATAAATTGGATTTTAAAAAGTTGACTCTTATGATGACCTACTTTTTGAAATTCATTGTAAAACATTAAAAGATATTTGCACCAACTGTAAAGGTTCAGAAAGTGCAACGTTCTGCTCTTGTTTCCCTTGTACAGGTGTGTGGACACAACTTCAATGCCGGGGAGCTCGGCCCAAGCACCATAGTGGGCAGTGCGGCCTTTAACATGCTTGTGATAATTGGTCTGTGTGTGTCAGTAATTCCAGATGGACAGTCTCGCAAGATCAAACACCTGCGAGTGTTTTTTATCACAGCTTTCTGGAGCATCTTTGCATACATTTGGCTCTACCTCATTCTGGCCGTCATCTCCCCAGGGATTGTTGAGGTAGGTCTCCACTCTACCCGTTATCCTCAACTGCAATCCAGATTCAGCAGTCAGGACCAAATAACTTCTTAAGCGCAGTCTCAAAATATCCAATAAAGACATTTTACTCACTAAAAGTAAAAGATTTTATAAAGTAATTTTTTTTGTACATCTGATCGACTTTGATCGTCTGACTACTTGGGAGCACTTTTAAAGCAAGTGAAATTTTATTCATAGGTAGTCAGTTGATCCTGTCGCTTACAATAAAAACCCAGGACAGTGACATCAAAATTGTGATATTGTGTCTCGATGCAGCAGAACATCAGGACAGAACAGAATCACATCAAAAGCAACACACCTAATTATAAAACATTACAGGATTTGATATAAATGATTCATTTCCTTATGCTTAAATTTTTGTAACATATATTTTTCAAACACAAACATGAAAAAAGAGAACTCCAATTTAAAAAAAATTAGTTCAATGTAATTTAATTAAGTTTATTTTATTTTGTTTAACATAACATCTTAATAAACTTAATATATTTAGTTGGATACATCTAATTTAAGTTGGATCGCCTGATTTCTTTTTTGAGTGACAATCAATAATCAATAACAGTGACTTCCTGTTTTCAATTCAGTATAATACTGAACACCGGGAACTAACATATTTTGTTGGTTGTCAAAGTAAATTTTTTTGTACATCTCATACAAACAAGTAAAAGATAAAATAAACCTGGATATCATTTGAAAGAATATTGAAAATAAATAGCAGTAGAAGAGAGCCATTGTCTTTTGGTGTGAGAATATATCAAATTTAAAATCTCTGCTTAAAAAACTAAAAAAGGGGATGCATTAAGGTCATAACTGTAAATGTGAGCAATGACCACTAACTTATACACAAAATGTCATTATATGAACAAATAAAATAATTGTAGTTATCACAGGAGTTGAGTTAGATTTTTCTTTGTAAATAGTCCACCCTGTCGATCCCCAGTTAAACATTATGTGACTTCACATAAGGAACAAGTACGATACATTTACAGCATAGATAACCTAATCTTGTCTGTGTCTCCAGGTTTGGGAAGCTGTAGTAACACTGCTATATTTTCCCATCTGTGTGATGTTGGCTTGGATCGCTGACCGCCGCCTGCTCTTTTACAAATACATGCATAAGAGATACCGTGCCAACAAGAGGCATGGGATTGTGGTGGAAATGGAGGGGGACGATTCCCCCAAAGGCATTGATGTCATCATGGACGGAAAGCTGTCAGACGGCAGTCCAGGCCCTGGAAACTCCTCTAGTGTGACGGTGTCCGTGCAGACAGGCAGTGAGCTGGACCAGAACAAAGATGAGGTAAGACATGTAGATCATGGAAAGAGGCAAGATTGAAACTGGGATGCTGTTATGTCTCAGTAAATGCTAGTTTGCTCTGTTTGTTGTAGCTAGAGCCATGAGAAAATTTTAAAAGACAGCTTATTAACTCTTTCATGCATAGCGGTCACTACAGTGGACAGCTGTCTAAAAGCCATGTTCCTGTGCTTCTTGTGGATTTTTATGTTTTAAATGACCACTGACGTGGACACTAATGCATCATAAAATACACAATCAACTACTGGCCATCAGCTGCAAATGCAAGAAATTATCTTTGTTAAATCCAATATGGCCGACAGACAAAAAAGCATGGCAACCGACCCGGTCCCTCCTTCTACTGTAGACGACTCTTGCAGGTAAAAAAAAATATTGTGACATCAGATAACCACTAAAGAACAATACTACTGATGTATTTTTCAAATAACAACTTTGTATTTGGAGAAAATTACAATTGAACACCTAAAGAAAAGAAAAGAAATATCTTTTTTTACAAAAAAAAGTTTCCTACTTTATTTTATTCCTTAAGAAAATTAAAAAAATGAGAAAACGTCTGACACACAGGATCATAATTCATGCATGAAAGGGTTAACATGTAAAATATGAGAGACATATGTCTGCCATCAAAGTTAGCTTGATGATCTGAAATCTAAAACGCGACAGAAAAGTTTAAGCACACCAAAAAATTAAAAAGCAAATCAACAAGGAGGCCAACACTTTAGCACAGCATTGTAAATCTTCTCATTTTGCTCTTATACAACCATGTGGGTGGTAACATTATCTAGAAGGTTATAGTAGAGCTTCAAGTACAGTTATTAAAGTCTTTCTACTTGACTCCAGGAAGCTCCCAGATCTCTTCTGCTACAGTTTTTCACTTACAGCCTGTTTCCTCCCTTGGACAGGTAGTCCGCATCTTGAAAGATCTGAAGGAGAAGCATCCAGATAAAGACCTGGACCAGCTGATCGAGATGGCCAACTACTCTGCCCTGGTCCACCAGAAGAAGAGTCGTGCCTTTTATCGTGTCCAAGCAACACGGAGGATGATCGGTGCTGGAAACATCTTAAAGAAGCACGCAGCAGATCAAAAGCGGCGCGCACCGGGACAGGATGCGGACAAGGCGACGTGCTCACATATCTGTTTTGAAAGCGTCCAGTACCAATGCACGGAGAACTGCGGCTCTGTGACCCTGTGGGTGGTCCTCGATGGAGGCACAGGCCAAAACACCTTCTACGTGGACTACTGTACAGAAAACGGATCTGCCAACGCTGGATCAGACTATGAGTTTAACAAGGGAACTCTGACATTCAAACCAGGGGAAACCCGAAAAGAGATCAAGGTGAAAAGATGTCTTAAGTTATTCTTGTATTTCCTGCTTCTCCACTGAAACTTTTTAAACCATTAGTCAAAGTCTTAGACTTAAACTCAGTCGGCCTGCAGATGTGTTTGTGTTTAAATCATCACTTGGCGTCTAGAGGGAAACGTAACGGATCGACGCTGCTTTCTCTGCAGGTGGGGATTTTGGATGACGAAATCTTTGAAGAGGATGAACATTTCTTTGTGCGTCTTCAGAATCTGAGGTTAGAGGAGGGAGGGAGCGAAGGGACTGGTTCTCCGCCCAAGGCCAGACTGGTGGAACCTCTGCTGGCCACAGTCACTATACTGGACGATGACCATGCTGGGATCTTTACCTTTGGGCAGCAGGTGCTGCGAGTGAGCGAGAGCACCGGCGTGCTGACGGTGACTGTGTTGAGGAACTCGGGCTCCAGGGGCACAGTAGCTGTGCCGTACCATACTGAGGATGGTAGTGCCAAGGCTGGAGTGGACTATGAGGAGGCCAGAGGGGAGGTGGAATTCACCAATGAACAGACAAGGTGAGGCGCAGTATGTGGACAGGGCTGAGCAGCGCCACACAAGATTGTGATTGACAGCATTAAGGGTAAAACTTTATTCGAAGGAGTGTTCATAAGACTGACATGAAACCTGTTATGAACATGAAGGAGTCTTTATGAATGTCTATGACTGTTGTCATGAAGTGTCATTCGGTAAATAATGACACTTTTAATGCAAAGTTGTGCTAAAAGTTGCATGAAAAGGCCATTAAAAGAGCCAAAGTTGCTTTATTTAGTAGATGGTGACACTTTAGTGCAAAGTTGGCATTTTAATTGAGTTTTAGTGCAACTTTTAAAGCAACTTTGCATTAAAGTGTAATTATTTACTGAATGACAACAGTCATTAACATTCTTAAAGACTTCTTCATGTTTATGACGGCTATGTTATGCCATTTAAGACGGTGTTGTGTCCGTCTTATGCACACCCTATCAAATAAAGTGTTACCACACTAAGGCCCTCCTCCTGGCTCTGATTGGTTGTTTGCAGTTAGCCCTGGGAGCACAGATAAACCAGCCAGGTACCCGCTTAAAGGAGAGATACATATTCCTGTCTTCTTCAGCTGGCACTTACATTTTCACATTTATTTGGTTATTCAACTTATCTTTTAGAAAATATTTAGTGTTGCTGGGCTGTTAACACTGTTTATGTCTTATAATTCATATAGATAGTTTCCCTTTTGTCCTACATAACGCACAGACTGAACACGTTTGGATCTCCGTTTGAAGTCTGAACTGGTTTGGGCTCAGATGAAAGGGACATTAGAGCCTTTCTGAAAGGAGGCTGTGGGTCATCGGCCTTCACTGTAGGAGGTCCTATTAGACAGAATTACCCGATGACTTGACACCTACGGATAATCCTGACTCTGATTAGTTGGGGGAAACTTCAGTCGCCGCATGTAAACTGACAGATCTTTTTCACATTAAATTTTTAGGCTGTATAAGCTGTGTTTGTACATGGATAAACTGAACACATAGTAAAGGACGTCTTTGTTACATCTACAGGTTGATTCTTTAAAGAGAAAGTATGGTAGTGTGGGCTCGTATTTGGAACAAAACTGTTTTTATATTCTTTGTTCACGTTTCTGACACGTACTGCTTGTCGTGTTCACACTAGTATTTAATTAGCTTTTTAATGAAAGAAATATCTGTGTGTTCTTGAACATTTCTAGTCAGACATTACAGATATGCATTTTAAATGTGGAGGAGTACGAAAAGCAGGAATACTTCTTCGTCGTGCTTGAAGACCCCAAGTGGCTGAAGAGAGGAATTTCTGGTGAGTCTACAAGCAGTTTCACTTTCATACCTGTCACCTGTGATTTTCTACCTGTGGCCTTTAAGTAGTTTTAAAACCTGTGAAGCAGACAGACAGGCGGGTTTTTCTTTTTACACAAAAGGTGTAAGTAGACTGACGCAGCACCAAGATCACTGCTCAGCTGTGCGTTTGTGGAGCTGCCTGCGCACGTCAGAGCCAGTAACTTAATATCACTCTGTTTCAGTGTAACATGTGCTGCAGCGTTTTTGAAAGTAGTGACTGTTTCTGTAACCTCACTATTGGATGCTGGAGGAACTGTGAGGGAAAAATATAGTCATTTTGTAGTAGAGTAGCAGTAAAGTTGGAACTGTTAGGATTGAGCATCCAAAACAATATGTGTATATATATATATATATATATATATATATATATATATATATATATATATATATATATATTTTTTTTTTTTTTTTTTTTTTTTTTTTTTTTTTTTTTTTTTTTTTTTTTTCTCAATGTCTAGTATGTATTGAGTAATTGTTTCTTTCTTTCATAGCTCTGCTACTGAACCAGGGTAAGATTTTGGGGGACAAGTTGAGATGTGGGTGTTACAGGGAGCCTTTGCAGCTTTTAAAAAGTATTATAATATTGTAAAACTGTGATGGTCACAGATAGAGCAGTTTGCTCTTTAACTATCAACAACGTTACATTCCAGTTCCGTTTAATTATGTAGCGCCAATTCACAACAATATCGCCTCTAATTTCAATTCAGTCACACATGCATTCCAGTTAATTCTCATTATCAAACAGTACAGTAATCTCAGTTCATTGTTTAAAGTAGCTTGAAAAGTTTCTACCTAAGGAAACCCAGCAGATTGCATCTAGCCATCGACTCGAACACGGTTCTACTTGAAAATTAAACAAACTGGAAATTGTTGCTGTTGTTGTTTTTGATAGACCTGTCATCTCGGCAAGAACATTTTTAAGGAACCTCAAAAAAGGCGGTTCTTGTTGATGGCCAGGTTTTAAAGTGCTTGTGTCCACTAAACAGTCCCTTCATCTCAGGCAGTTCAATTACCTTTGAAAATCAAGAGCAAAGTTTATAATAAAAATTCTGTCAAACAAGATGCCTCTCCCAATCCTTCCAACATTAACCTAGAAATCCAGTTAATGCTGCAAAGGCGCCTTTCAGTGTTACGCATCTGTGTGTGTGCAAGTACCTGGGATTGTTTTTGTTTGCTGTGTTCCTCAGGCTTCAGCACAAAGAGGTTTAACGTGCATTTGTTTTATTAATGAAATAGTAGATTAACGTCTGTACCCTCTAAAAGGTAACCCAACTCCTGAGGAGGAAGAGGCCAGGAGGATTTCTGAGATGGGCAAACCTATTCTAGGAGAGCACAGCAGACTAGAAGTCATCATACAAGAAGCCTGTGATTTTAAGGTGTGCACCTCGTAGAAAAAGATTATTCTCCTCCAGATTTACCTACATACATATATAACATATTTTAAGATGTCTTGGGTCAATATTCTGACATGTACTCAACAAAATACCCAAGTGAAGCTTAATGTCTTGTAGGACAGCCTGTCTTGCTTCATTAACAATGTGATTCTCTCCATATGCATCAGACTCCCAATGGAGTCATAGACCAGGTACAGTTCCTACAGTTTGTGTTGCCAGAATAAATTTATGCTTTTATCTAAAGTGCCTTGCAAAAGTATTCATATTATGAGCGTAATTTAATCTCTGAATATGTAAAGTTTGAAAACTATGAATCAGTTTTATTTTTCTTCACAACACCACATTACTTTTTGTCACAAAAAATCCAAATGAAGTGTGTTTAACAATACTGTGGCAACATGTGAAAAGGTTCACTTACTACTTTTGCAAGGGTGCTGTATTCTGTTTCATTGAGATTGCACAGTACATTGCTGCTGCGTGCTGCGTGCGCTTTAGAGCATAAATTGAGCAGATTTATTAATGTTTGCTCAGCTTTTTATGTTAACTGTATAACTAGTAGGCCCAAAAGGATGAAATGGAGGCTCATCTGTTGCTTTCACCTCAGTGTGAGTTATGATTAATATTTCCTAACCCGTTTCCTTTCTGGTGCCAGAACACTGTGGATCAACTCCTCCAGGACACAAATCTAGCAGAAGTGATTGGGACTCACTCATGGAAAGAGCAGTTCATTGAAGCAGTCACAGTGAGCGCAGGTCAGTGAGGTTTGAACTTAAAGTGTTTTGTGTTTTGTGTATGTATCGGTTATATTTAACCGATACATCCATGCACATTTGAATAGAGGAAAACAGTAAAATATTTAGTGTTTTCCTCACTAAATGTTTCACTGTTTGTGTCCAGGACATCTGCTAACTGGTGTTGAAATTCTGTTTAACTTTAGTATCCTGACAGAAAATGTGAACTATCACCTACTGAATGATGTTCATTAAAAATATCACAAATTAAAATACTAGGTTTTTATAATGTGACAAAATTGTGGATAATTGAAACAAAAGGTGCTTCAAAACGGTATTAAGTTTCAGGATGTGTTTACTTATGCAACTTGTCTTTTACAAATTCTTATTTTCCTTCTAATGGATTGATTTTTTTAGTCGACTTTCAAAGCATAAACGTGTGGGAAACATTTTGAAATATGTATCCATGTTTCATACATTTAGTAGAGGAGACTTGGACTTTATCAATACATCAGACCACAACTACTACTACTTTCTGTTTTAGTAAGGGTTAATTTGCTCCCAGCTTCATCATTGTGTCTTCTTTAAACAGGTGATGATGACGAGGAGGGACAGGAGCAAAGAACGCCCAACTGCTTCGACTATTTTATGCACATACTTTGCGTTTTCTGGAAAATCTTATTTGCTTTTGTCCCGCCCACCGAGTACTGGAACGGCTGGGCGTGCTTCATTGTGTCCATCTCTGTCATCGGCCTCCTAACCGCCATCATCGGAGACCTGGCGTCGCATTTTGGCTGCACTGTTGGCCTCAGAGACACTGTGACTGCCGTGGTCTTTGTGGCGCTGGGGACTTCACTTCCTGGTACATTCACTCTCATTCTGGCAAACTTTACTTGACCTGATAGTCCAGCATTTCTGAAGTGAGGTTCTGTTGAAAGGTTACAAGCCACAGTTACAGAAAGGAGGAGCAATAATAATAATAATAATAACAATAATAATAATAATAATAAATACCCCAATCAAATCAACAAAAATAAGAACAAAGTCTACTTGGAAATAATTGTAATATTTTGAACAATCTTTTATGCCTGTTCTTAATTGTTTTCCACTTGAAAAGCAAAAAAACAACCAAATTAACTAATTTTAAATAATACTTCTCTATGTTTTTCATCCTTTCAGACACCTTTGCCAGTAAAGTGGCCGCCACTCAGGACCAGTATGCAGATGCATCCGTGGGGAACGTGACGGGAAGCAACGCAGTCAACGTGTTTCTGGGCATTGGCCTGGCCTGGTCCGTGGCTGCGGTGTACTGGGAAGTGAAAGGGAAGGTCTTCCGCGTCGACCCTGGTTCCCTGGCCTTCTCGGTCACACTCTTCACTATTTTTGCGTTCTTCAGCATGGGCGTGCTGATGCTACGCAGGAGGCCGTCCATAGGAGGCGAACTCGGCGGTCCGAGGATTCCCAAGGCCCTCACCTCGCTGCTCTTCTTCGGACTCTGGTTCCTGTACATCCTCTTCTCCAGCCTGGAGGCCTATTGCCATATACAAGGATTCTGAGAGAGTCATAAGGTCACACTTACAGACACAGAACTGTGACAGTAACTACCAATAGGAATCCATCACCCTCACCGTTTGACTCCTGCTGCCATGGTTCAAAACATATACACAACGTGTGACTGTTCTAGTCAGTAGGACTCTCTGTCACAATACAAATTCATTTATTTTAAATATATTAGATTATAGTTAACTGCACTATACATGAAGGGTATAGGCAGACAAATATCTCTGATCATTAAAATATTTCTGATCATTAAAACATTTCTGATCATTAAAATAATGCTGATAATTCACATCCAGACTTAAAGTTGGGGATTGTCTCCACTCACACGTACAAAGCCAAGGACTCTGGTAAAATGTAAAATGTGGTTTGCACAGAGCATGAATTCAGTGCAGGTGAGATTATTTACGTTGTATCCAAACAATGAGCATTGTTTCAAGGCACTTTACAAGATAAACATCCAATTTATATACAGAAATATACAGAAGCCCTGAAAGGCAATCGGAAAGAAATTGTTTTTTCGAAGATCCATTTTCTAAGTCTGACCAAATTTTATTTTTCTCTTGACTTTAAAAGTCAAGTGGAAGTGAAAAAGTTTTTTGGGGGAAGAGGGGTTCGCATGGAATATTTATGTGCAGTCAATACAATCAAATCATGTAGACAGAGACAAATTTAATTACAAATATTCTTATGCACGATAGAAACCAGTGACTATGTAAGAGAAACTTTCGTAGCTAATGATAATCAAAGAGAAGTGGCTTGATTAAAAGTCCAAGGCTTTTGCCAAAAGAAAACATCCTAACTGATCCATGATGGGAATCTAATCACGACCGATCAGAAGTACTTGTGTTTTGAAACATTCCTAATGACTCTGTGGGGAAATAGCTGAGAACAGACATAGCACAGGAAAATCGGGTTTGAACCATTAAACTCACTCATTTCATGCAGATGGCAGCCTGTTTGGAAGAGTTTGTCACTCTGAACGGATCCTTATTAAGAACTGGATCTTTGAGGGATACATTTCCACAACATGTATTTCACTGGATTCAATCAGGGGCTACAAGAAAGTAAACAACTACAGGTAAAGTTAAAAGATGTGAAGTTCATCACTTTCTCAGGCTGCAAGACTCTAACGCTGCTCACAACCATTAATAAGCTACTTGGTTCATACATGCAACTGTATTTCATTTCACAGTCAGGGTGGGAACACATGTACCTGTAGAAATGGCAAAAAGAAAATACACCCTCTAAAGTCTATGGCTTTCCACTCCAAAAACACTGGACAGTCCAGTGTTTTGTTTTCTAATTCACTTTATTTGCTACACATTGCATCAATTATACATTAAAAGCCTATAAATGATAGAGGGTGTACTTTTTTAATTATGATTGTAAACTCAGACATCTGCATTCACTCATCATGTATGTCATATTAATACTGAGCTTTAAAGTATGTATTTGAACTATTTTTTTTTCAAGGGTGGAATAATTCTACAAAAGAAATTAAACAATAAAAAAGGACTGGGTGCCCAAGTTTTAATTGATTGTGGATTTTTCTTAAACCACACAGGCCATGAATATGAAAACAAGCTCAAATATATCCATACACCCTAAGTAATATATGGATGAATGTCCCAGTCTTGGTGACCCTCAGCCTGAATTATTTCCTTCATCTGACGACAACAGTTTGACCAACCCTTCGCTCAACCATACAAATAAAAAAAATGTGCAGAATATTTAAAAGCTGGGTGAAGACAAGAAAAACAAATGCATGTAAATTAATTATACAATTTCAGAACTGTAAAATAAATGTTGACCCAGAGCAGAATAATAATGATTTATATGATTTATACATGTAAAAGTCTGACTGTCACTACATATCCACTGATCTGATTTATATCCACTGATTTATAAACACTTATTAAAACTAAGATGGAAATAAAAAGTTAATTTATTCTGAAATTATTTCATGGTTGTTCTCAAATCATCTTTGTCCGCAGCAATGATATTTTTAATTGTTTTGATAATCATAGGTTATTTACCCATAATATGTTTTATATTTAGCAACTTATTTGCCCTTCAACTCTCCATTTATTGGAAGAAACTGATTCAATGAAATGTCTATAATATGACTGTAGAGATATAGATGTCAGCTGACCAAGCAGCAAATGAGCTGGTATCTGGCGCCATCTTGTGTAAATTACAAGCAACTGCTGCATATAGATAGATAGATAGATAGATAGATAGATAGATAGATAGATAGATAGATA